CATATATTTTAGTAAAAAAACTTTTATTTTCAATTTCGATTACAATTTTTTTCTCTACAATTTGGTATCCATTTTCATTATATTTTGTTAATTTTATCAATAAATAAAATAAAATAAAAATACATTATACTTGTACATATAAAACATAGTGATACGTATAATGTGTACATGTACATGATCAAGCTAATATATATCCAAGATCAAGCTTGGGAGAAAATTAGTAACAAAATAAAAAGCTTATAAGAGTTTAGTGAAAACGACTTAATAGAATTTGCATACAGAGAGTGTATGGTTGTATGATACAACTTGTATCTAGATACACATTTGTGTACTTACAGTGGAGAGAAGATCGATGAGACGCTCTATAAAAATGGAAACGGCGATGAAGAAGAAACAAACGGTGGCCAGAGCCCACGTGGGAGTTTCTTGGAGCGATCGAACGGGGCCAAACTCCGCGGAGTGGCTGATTTCTTCTTTTCCGGTCATATCTTTCCGGTGAGTGATTTGAAGTTGAGAAGATGAAGTTATGTTTCAGTGAGCAAATACAGTTGTATATTACAATCATTGTTGCATCTAACAAAGAACTTGTCAAAAGCTTCTAGTTAACACTGACGTTATTTGTGCTTTAAATGTGACATTAATTCCAAGTCCCACTCTTTCATACCGCCCTTTTTGACCTGGTAAGCAACCTATTCATTTATTAATTTTTCTTAGTGTTACTATTAAATATTAATTCTAGAAAAAATGGGAAATGAATTTGACGAGTTCTTGAAGAGAGTTGTGCAAGATCATGCAGATGGCGGCCGAGATGGGAATGATTTCATCGATGTATTGCTCACTATTGAGAGAGTGAAGAGCGCCGAGTTTGAAATCGATCGGATAAGCATAAAGGCAATCATTTTGGTAAAGGGAAAAAGAAACTGGGTTTCGATTCTATGGTGTTTTATTAGTACATAATCTTAGCTCTTGTTTTGGTTTTCACTTTTCAGAATGTATTTGTGGGTGGTACGGAGACATCGTACACACTTATGGAATGGGCAATGACAGCTTCCACGTCACCCCGAGTGTCAGAACAGACTCCAGAGAGAAGTTTAAATCAAGTGTATCAGAAGACGATATTGTTGTTGTGGTGTTGAATGAGGTGGTTTTAGCTAACTTTTTTT